AGTTCAACGCAGATTCGGAATAAGAACCTTCTTGCTCTCAAACCTCTCTTATTTTCGTTTTTATTCTAAGTTATCGTTTTCTTATTTTCGTTGTGCGGTTCTCGCAGATAGCCGGTTCCTCTGGAAACTTAGGGTTTTTCCCGAAGTTTCCTTATTTACGATTTATTTGACAGTAGGGTGAAATCGACTCCCACAACTTGCAACAGGCAAGCCCGGTTGTTTTACGTGAAAGTTAGATATCCGCGCCGTCTGAACATATGCATAAATCTAAGTGGTAGGTTTAGCTTTCAACCACGCCACCTAGCCACACGTTCTTCATTTTGTTTATTAGCAGTAAACTTTTTTAGAATACTTGCAAGTGACTTAAGCATAATTGTTCGACATAACTACAAGAATTGGGCATATGGCTTAAGAAAATTTCATTCGATGTCCCAAAATGCGAAACAAAACTCCTGCAGAGGAATATTAAAAACATTTTACCATCACAACAAAGACCTTCTGGTTAAACGTGAAACACAAGTAACCTAAGTCGATATATGGAAAGTAAACGTCTCTACGTTTCTTCACAAGGAAGTGGAGGGGGTACACCGAAAACCCAATCTAGGACGTTCAAATATTTTGATCGAAATACCTCCCTTTCTTGTGCGTAGCAGTGCATTATAATGGCTGTCGAAACGCTGAACACGACTACATCTGCTCTTCTTAGAATCTTGGGCGGTCTAATGTATCCTGCCTCCGTCATGAAAGTGAAAAAGCTCTCTATAGCCCTTGCTAAGCAGTAGAGTGATATCTCTATCCTTCTGCTTTTCTTTTCAATTGCCAAGGCCAGGCCTGTTGGGAACTGCAGGAAAATTCACGGTTTAGTACAAATATCAATGCTACTACATACGTGTACGTTTTTTGTGAATGGATTTGGTTCGAACCGTTGCTATGGCCACGAGTGGTATGTTGCATGTATCAAGTGTCCGGAAAAGTAGGCATGTCCAGGCCCTAGTATATGTAATTAATGCCATTGCATAAGTTTCCGCGTCAGTAAGCTTACTATGTTTTTAATTATGATGAAATTAAGAACTTTCTAAGATTGGATTCTAACCAGGCAGAAGTGCAGTAAGTGGAGAGAAACAAACTAGATCTCGCTGTGCCAAGAAGACCCTTGCCAAGTATAGAGTATTGCCTGTGAGATGAGTATGAAAGACACTATAAAGATACACAAAACAATAACTAGCGGTGGAATCAAGGCGGAACAAAACTATTACTTTTTTAGTAGATCTTGGCGATGGACTATCAGCGCTGGAATCAAGTAGACAGGGACGTAGACAGGTAACGCCCTCATGTAAGCTTGAAGGATAAATGTAAGACCGTGCTTAGTACATGATTCACCTCCATGTATTATCTACAAGAAACCACATAAGCAACTCATGTACAATATACTCCCTCCGTTTCATTTTAGTCATTTTAAGTTTTTGCACACAGATTAAGAAAACATTTAATTTTCCATATTTTATATATAAAATTACCATTACTAATAATGTAACTATATTTCAACCAATAGAAAAATAGAATAACATATAAAATTAATAAATTTTATCTTGAAATCATTAAACAACACTTCTTTTGAAATAAAAATTTTCCTCTACAATGACATATAAATTGAAAGCGAGGAATAACAACGCAAGTGAGAATCATTGAAGACATCTATCAACAAAGCTGCACGAGGTAATGTAGTGAGAGGAAAAGAAACAGATACTGCTGCATATAATGAATATGGTAAAACACAAAGAGATGACTACAAAGCTCTGTTTTTTTTCCTTTACAATTTGCACTTTTGATTCAACGAACAAAAGCTGTTTTTTTTTCCTTTACAACCAAGAATGCTTGCTGTTGATACTTGATAGAAACAAGACAGGTGCATTATAAACGTACCGAACAGGGGATTTTCATGTTAGGATCAAGTTTGATATCAACTCCAACAGACTTGTAATATTTTTCGATTGCCCTTAAATTGGTGAATGGTTTGGCGCTTGCGAGATCTTTGATACCTTGTAAGATAGAAAGATCCTTCCCACCATGTTTGTTCAGGAATGACTTATACGATGAAGGAAGACTTTCTTGCTTTAAAATGTAAGCAGACCTGAAACACACATATTCACTAATCAGGACATGAATCTTCTCTCGTCTGCCTAATTTATAAACAACTGAGGCATGTCTGAATAATTTAACTAGAATTAGAATTAAAAAGCCTAATATCATGGCGTAGGGGGAGAAGATAAACATACAAAATCTGTGAAGATGAGAGACACATGAGAAACAAGTCCCCATGTTTCCAAGTAAGCGGCTTACAAACTGAACCAAACCGTTTGCTTTTAATACCGCACCGGGACGCAAGAACTGCCGCACGCATCAAAATGTAAACAGCCAAACTGGTGTGTGTTGTGTTTGGTCCAGTGAGAAGCATCGATGGGCCTGCCACTAAACCAGCAAACAGGGCCCTCCACTTTGCAGTTCTGGGATTCAGACAAAAGACTTCAAAGTGATTAAATGTGTTACCATACACTAATTCTAAATCTGAATGAACGGACAAAAGCAAGATAGTGGGGACATGCCTTTGGTGTCCTGCAAAAGAACAAATAGCTTCATCCACGGAGACAAAAGTACCAGCAAAAGTTCCCAAGAACAGTCCGTATCTTAGTGTTTCCTTAATCCCCATTGCAATAGCTTCACTATTTGAGAAATCACCGCTTCTCCTAAACCGATAGATTCCAATATCAGATACAGTAAAACAAAAAAAACAGAAGAAAAAAAATCCTAAATTAAAAATTAGAATTTTGGTTACCTCGATTTAGAAGAAGATCTACGACGAGCGAACCGAGCAACGATTGAGAAAAGAGCTAACCCACCTTTGATCCCAGTACCTATGGAGAATCCTTTGACGGAAGCAACGATGATTCTACGAAGTTTCTCCGAATCACCAGATTTCGTTCCCAACGAAGAGAAATAGGTAGAGAGATAAGTTTTAATCGAATCGGACCCGTTGCAATGTACGCATGTATGGTCAGACGGATCACAGGAATCGTCGCCAGCGGTTCCATCGATTTCACCGCGGATACATGAGCAGCGAGAACCGTTCGCCGTCCGGCAAGACGGCGACATGAGGTCGGAGAGGGTATGCGTTAATCGAATTGCGCCAAACTGATAGTACGTAGGCTTTGGTGGGAAATTGGAGTTGGCTTTTGAATAGGGACGAAAGAATGGGAAGAAAAAAAACCACAAAGTTAGTATGGGGATGACGAAGACAGCAAATCCCACAGCGTATTAGATTTAAAGCCACTGACACGTGACAGTTTTCTTGTTTCTTTTTTTCGTTCCGGATCTCTTTGATTGTTCTGGTTCCGGAACCGTTACTAAATTACAATGGAATAATGGGTTGTGAAGGGTATGGGCTTATTTTATGGGGTTGACAGGATAATATTTTCTACTAGGGTCGAGGATATACTTTACATCTAAATTATTATTTGTATAATAATGATTTTTATCATTTGAAAAGTTTTAGGTGATGAGACATTATATAATGGATAAGATTTATTTTGCTTATTTTAAATAGCTTTTTTCTATATTAAAAATTTATGGTATTGATACGTGTTTCAAATGGTGTTCAAGTTGTTTTCTTTTACAAAAAAAAAACTGATTTCATATTTGGTATATTTCGGTTTATAATATTTTGGATCATGAAGGTTTAGGTTGTGGGTTATAAGAGTAATTAGTTTTTATGTTGAAATCATAATTTTTCGACATGTTATTGGAGTACAAGTGGTGATTTGAAGTTGTATTTCTTATTAAAAGTAGAATGTTATATTGAATGCGAAAAGGTAATCAAACGAAACTAATCAAAATATAAAAAAAAAAAACATTGAAACTGGAAAATACGAAAATTAAGTAGTGGTCAATGAATGTAAGTACACTTGTTACCGTAAAACCAACTTGAAATACTTCACCATTTGTTTAAAGTAATAACAATCACTACATCGATTACAGATTATTGAGATAACACTATCCTGGTGGCACTATAAAAGATCAAAGTAGCTCCATAACACTTCTTTTTCTTTATAGAGATATCTTTCAGCTCTAAACATGTCAGTTTGTTGTCATGGCAATTCATAAATTTCATGCATTCCTCATGCTCTCTTGTGCATAACAAAATTATAGCATAGAGATAATTATCTATACAATTGATGTTTGCTAATATGCGAAGATGATTTAGTACTTGGTGCGGCTTTGTTTCAATGTCAAAATTGTTTTTTTTTTTCTTTCTAATATTAATTCTTGTATAGATTAAGTATATATTTCCTTACTTAATCTCATACACTGAGTTTTACATTCATCGATCTGAACTGAACGATTTTGGCATATTTTAAATCATTTATGTTACAATTAAAATAAAAAGCGAAAAATACTCTGACTAAACATTTAATCGTATGTTTAAAGAGAATTCTTGACAGTGGTATTTCGTGGAACTTCTATATGTATACAGCCAATTAAATTATAAAGTTCTCTAAATACTTTATAACATTTAATTTCTGCGTTTCGGTAGCTCTCACACATTTCCGCTACCTCCTCTGAGAAAATCCCAATAACTGATGAATCAATCACGCTTCAAGTCAATTTTAGATTCTATCATACTTCTAATCAGATAGTGAGCCCAAGTACTTCCGGATGGGCCCAAATGAAAATAAAATGTAAATTTATAAAACTTACAAATATCGCTTCAAACTTGAAAAATAGCTTCAGGTTTGTTGAATTGATTTTAAGCTAGAATATGAGCAAAACAAAACATAGAGTTTGAATTTATAAATTATTTTAAATAAACACAAAATACAAATTTATATTTTACACATGAAAATTTAACATTTCCTCGAAAGAATTTGAAAACCATGGAATAAATATATGTAAAATAAGATCAACTTATACGAAAAAACATAAACCAAAAAAAATTAAAATCATCTTTAGTAGAATTTTAATAAAGTCTGCTTACAATTTATGGCTTATGAAGTCTACTATCTTTAAATTTAAGCAAAAATTTATTATAAGTCTGTTATATCCAATAATTTTCAGATCGAATATTGAAAATCCTTTACATTTGAAAATGAGAAAATAGTTTAAAATATGAAAAAGCATTTATAAGATAAAATAGTAGCAAAATATAAACATAGAATTTGAATCGATAACTATATTCGAATATAGACATAAAAATATAAATTTTAAATATATAGATCTAAATCTTACATTTTTAGATTACTCGAGAAGTAATATAAATTTTTATATAAAAGGTTGACAAAGTTAGAAAACCAAAATTGCAACAAACGGATTTAAAAAAATGGTGGACAAAGTGTCCATTGTCCAAACACTTATTTGCATAGGCATAATGTGAGAAATCTCATATTTTTGGGCCGCTAAACATCTCATTTCCACAGCCCAAAACGTAAACAGACGAAGGCGAGAATAAAGCTCATCAAACCTATTTTAATGAAATGTGTTTTGTTTCCAGTACACATGTCGCAACGCCTGGGCTTGACTCTCCTAGGTGGAATCATAAGTGGCATAAGGATGAGCAAAACATTCTTTTATATAATAAGATTATTTTTGTTTTGTTTCCGTTTTGTTTGGTGTTATATCTCTGTTCTAAAACCTGGGTGTAGTACCGAGTACACCCTATACGGTGAGTGTTCGTGGTATATTGAACCTGTGCAGTGTTATTAATGCGGTCAACCACATATTGAATGCCCCAGCAGTGGTTTAAAGAAATGTGGTCAATAACCAATTGTTTTTACTCCATCCGTTCACTTTATTTGTCATTCTAGATTTTTGCACACAAATTAAAAAAATATTTAATTTTACATATTTCCAAGATAAAAACACAATTACCTATACACCTAACCACTTTTCAACCAATAGAAAAATAAAATATTATATAAAACTAATAAATTTTGCCTCGAAACTTTAAAATGACACTTGATTTGTAACATAAAAATAAGTCTAAAATGACATATATTTTGAAACGGAGGGAGTATTTTGTAACCAATTGTTTTATTTTGTTTAAAATTTAAAATCGCAAAATTAATCAATTTTTATAAGTTTGAAGCTCTAAAAATTAAATATTGGGTTATATATCTATCAAATCTATGTAAAATCTATAAGAAAATCAAAATAAATCGACAAAAATGATGACAAAAAAGTTTAGACTTCTAATTCTTTTGTGGGTAGAAAAAAAGAAGATGAGGGCAAAAAATTAATTTTGAAACTAATTAAACTTAAAACAAAAATAACAGATTAAATTGGACAAAATAATATCGAACCCAGCCGAGTGCTGTTAAAAATCACTCACTCTAAGGACCACTAGACTACATGACTTTCCATGGTATATACTTTATTTTCTTTATAAATAGGATATATTGTTTATTATACTTTATTTATTTTATATTAAATTTGGTGTATAACGGATATAAATATACTAATAATAGTTTACTGCAAGCAGGCCCAGCTTAAAATATATCTAGACCTAGTGCATAATAAAAATTTTGAACCTTTTCTTGCACAAATAAAAAATTTAGCGCATTTTTCTTGCAAGAAATAAAATTTTAATACTCTCAGCTATAAAAAAAAAATATAAAAAAGTAGGCCCTGTGTAATTGCTCTCTCCGCACATGTCATAAGCCGGCACTGACTACAAGCTTGTCTCCAGTTTATATTAACTCACTAGGTATAGATCAGTAATACGTTCGATCAAAAAATCTATATTATAATGAGGGAGTTTACTCACTCCCAGCGCGCCACGCTAGCATTTTTTAATGGTCCACGCAAGGTTTTTTAACTACAAAAGTTATTAACGCTGACTATTAACAATAGATGGTCATTTGGCCGAGTGGTATAATCTGTATACCTAAAGCTTCATTCCGCAAGTATCAGGTTCGATTCCCCCTAAAATCTTTTTTTTTTGGGTTAGCATGTTAAATTTAGTTACCGGGCTTTATTTGTTTTTCAGCCCATTTAAGCTTGTTCTGTTACAGACATCTAGATCTTTCTTTCTCAAGACGATCCCGATTCCGGCGAACGTATTCCCAAACTTCGCACTCTTCGTCTCCTCTCCTCATCTTTAATTTTTGTAACTCTTATGCCATCAGTTACGACTTGGATCCATCTATATATATATGTTTGTAGATCGGCTATCTGGTTTCTCCGTTTTTTTTTCTCCTTATATTCTGATAAACCCCGCAGTCGCTGTCGAAGTGATGTCTTCTTCAGATGCTCAGATTACCAACGCCGCCGTCGAATACTTCACTTGCGCTGCAAAGCTTCTGTTTCCTGATCTCAAAACCAGTAATGTATTTATTGGCATGGTTATTACTGAATCCGAAAGGTGCATTGTCTATTGTATGATCGATTTCCTGATATAATTTCATTTTTATATATCATAAAAATTGGTAATTCCGTAAGATTTTTACCTTGTGCTATTTTGTTGGAATCCTAATGACAAGTTATATGTGGTAATGCAGATGAATCTTACCAAGTAGAGATAATATTGGAATTTCTGGGCAAGAACAAGTTTTCTGGAATCTCTGAGATAATATTGTTTGAGTTTCTATTCAGCTTCAGGTTAAATTTTTTTTGGATCATATCACTTTGTATTTGTTTCCAGTTTGGATTACAATTGAACCCTACTTTAGTTTTTCTTCCTTGGGATCGTTTCCAAGACTGATGACTTTCAGAATCAGGCTCAGCCTCTTGNTTCTGGGCAAGAACAAGTTTTCTGGAATCTCTGAGATAATATTGTTTGAGTTTCTATTCAGCTTCAGGTTAAATTTTTTTTGGATCATATCACTTTGTATTTGTTTCCAGTTTGGATTACAATTGAACCCTACTTTAGTTTTTCTTCCTTGGGATCGTTTCCAAGACTGATGACTTTCAGAATCAGGCTCAGCCTCTTGAAAATCTTGCAAGAAGGTTTAAATCGAATGTATTCTCTAATGCTGACTCTTCCCGTATATATTTAGGTCTGTATATTTTCTCTTCATATGTATATTCTTACTTGCAGCTTATGTTACTATATATAAAAAGTTGAATTTTTCTCCTCATGTGTATATTCTTACTTGCATCTTATGTTTTTATATATAAAAAGTTGAACATTGCGATGCCATTCTTGACTTTATTGAGAGTAGAGGATGCAACAAAACTGCTGTAAGTTTCTGATGTTTGACGCTTTGTCATCTACTGAAATAAG